GTCAAGTTCTGGATCAATGGGCACACTTCGTAAGTTATTTGTATTCGATTTTGATTTAGGCTTACGATTTACATGATCTTTGTGTAACAAATTTTTTGAATCGATGTGTATGTTCTTGAGTTTGATTTGAACTCCTCTTCAGAGTTGAAGTTCAGAGATACATTTCTGAATTATAAGAAGTCAGAATTCTTGTTAAGTCCAGAGTTAGAAGACAACTCTGAATTTCTCTTATCCAGAGTTAAGTCCATAGTTATTTTCCAACCTAACAACCGAACTCTGAATTATTGTGTTTCAGAGTTAATGTTCAGAGTTTTCTTTTAGACCTGAGGAAAAGTCTCAACTCATTTTCTTCCTCATTTAAAATACCCTGTGTAATACACGGGTTCGAACCTAGTGTGTGTATATATATATATATGTTGGGTTCACGTGAGTTGTTTCCGTAAGACCCGTAAGACTACTTTTTTACACTTGAACCTTAATTAATGGGGATAATAATATCCTAAAGATAGTGTTAAATTATGTCCTAATCATTGCAACTTTTGCATTTTTCTCCTTTCATAATTTTATTTTCTAACATATAAATGACTATAATACACACACACACTTGGGATCATATGGGACCAACCTGTTTTCGTGAGACTATTTTTTTACAATTGAAATTTCACAGCAAAACAGTATGAAGATAAAAAAAAAGTCGAACATTCACAGCAAAAACACTGTGAAGGTTATCTTCACAGCATTTTGCTGTGAAGTTTCAATTATAAAAAAATGGTCTCACAGGTCTCAAAAAAACAAACTGGTCTCACATGATCCCAAATGTATATATATATATATTATAGTCATGTATATGTTAGAAAATAAGATAATGAAAGGAGAAAAATGCAAAAATTACAATGATCAGGACATGATTTAACACTATCTTTAGGATATTATTATCCCTACTAATTAAGGTTGTTTGGATGTGGCTAATACATCCCAGGATTCCCTAATTAAATAATCATATTCACAATTAAATACGTTTATCATTTGATCATTCTGTGTTTTTTTTATAATCTTATTTTCTAACCATATATACATTATTGATAATATGTTCATTATTTATATTATAAATATACACCACATGTAAACATACATGTATATACACTATCTATACATGGACACATACATACACCCTAGTTATACCTATATAGTTACATACTTGCATATTATAACATTCCACTTTTAGACCTAGATGTAATATGTCCAAAGTGAGGGGTTAAGTATATAAATAAGAAAAACCCAAAGGCCAAGTAGCCAATAGACGAAAGAATTGGAATTGATGGAAGTGTTGCTGATCAAACATATTCTAACAAAACGTGGTAATAAAAACACGCCGTTTTAATCAGGATAAAAGCTTCCGAACCCCGTCGCTCATCTTAAAGAGACGTGTGAGCCAGGAGAATGCTATATATTCGAAAAAGGGAGACTTGAAGCGAAGCTCCCAAACCCCGTCCCTCCATATGTAATTATCAAAAGCATACGAATACTCGAGAGGCTTGAGGGGGATTCAGATCCCGTATTATGATCCTTGTTACAGACAAAAGTATCAAGAAACTCTCTCCATTGTTTACGAAATCATAAAAATTCTAGCAAGGAGTACAGTAGCATGTGATGTTAATACGAGTACAGTAGCATGTGATGTTAAGTGATGTTTTAATGTGTGAATGAAGTTGAGAAAGATGTTTTAAGGCCACGGTATTAAGCAAATATGCAACATTTATGTTGCTACGATGAAATTAGAAAATTTCATGTTATTTGTAAACTTCATACATTTGTTCGTTTATCAAGGTGTAGATACGTTTTTGGAAAGGTCGACCTATATAAATATCTGTGATATGAATGAAACATGAATCTGTTCTAAGTAGGTCAAAATGGATAGTTTTTGAAATTATATAGATATTAAACAACAACAATGCATTAGGTTTATAAACTCCACATAAAATCGATTTTAACTCGGTCTGAAGTGATCCTTAATTTTCTTTCTGAAAGTGTTGAATAGATAATTTATCCTGAAACCTTCTTATAATGTATGATAATATTTTGATCTATAAGGCATACATCTTTGCTCACCATGCTTAGTTATAGGAGATGCTAATATTGAACCGTTGCTTCATATTTTCCATGATTTATTTTCCATGGTACACTCTTCTACAATCCTTCAAACTCAGTGTCAATACATGACCCAAAATATTTTTATTCGCATTACAGTGGTTTAGGTGGACTTGAGACCTTGAACAAGTGTGTTCGTCATGCAATTTCTGAACCTGAAACACATTGATACCATCGATAATAATCGCCATTAAATGCTAATCACAGTCCGAAGAGGAGTGACATATTGCCTTCTAGCGGTGTTTGATTGATTTTTTTAACCTTTATCTGAAAGTTTTCATAAACGCATTTTAATCCTAATGCGAGCTTCAGTGCTTCATTTGAGTCAAAGGTTTTGAGAACTTTTACATGAGATGTACACTGGTAGGAAATGTTTCTCTGTCTAGGTTTGATAACAGGTGCTAGGCAAGATGTTGGGTCGGGTATACCCCAAAAACTATTCCTTACCGGATGGATTTCTTCATCGTCTGAGTTATCGTCTTCGGGTATATTCAAAATTTATGTTGCAACAGAAGCATCTTCATCCATATTTACTTCCCATAATGTTTTTGACTGTCTCGGAGACTGATACAGTGACTGGATCAAGAACTGGTTGGAAGACCATATCGGAGACTGGTTCAAGTCTTGAAGAAAATACCTATCATGATCAACAAGATTTATTGGTTCAACATTATCAGCCGGTTGATTATCATGTAAATTGACTAGGGCAGCACCATGTTGATTGATTCCGACAACATTGTAGGTATGAGCGCCACTACCATCAGGGAAGAAACTGTTTGGTTGATTGAATCCGGCAGCAAGATATGGATTTCCTTCACTACCACCAGGGAATAAATAACCTGATTGATTGATTCCGATAGAACCGTATGGATTTTCACTACAACCACCGAGGGTAAAAAATACTTGTTTGATTGATTCCAGAAGGACCGTATGAGTTTGCACCACTATCGCCGAGGAAAAACATACTTGGTTGATGGATTACAACACTTGATGGATTTCCACCATAACCACCATCTTCGACCACAAAAAGTGTCAAAATTTCCAGTAAACTTTGACGAACAAAGTTCTGGAACATCACCACATCGTCGTTGTCGCCTAGCTCAAATAACGAACAACTGGAACTGGAATTATTTTTATGAAATAACCTAAAAGGACTACGTAAATTTAACTTTTTCGCAACACTTTTAACCAAACTAGAATGTGTTATTGTCGATGACAAATGTAATATACATTTATATAGGATCACAAACGTCCCCGTGCCTCAAAAAACACCCCTAAATTATCGAATCGGTGTGTCATAGGATGTTCTAACTAGAGAACAAAATAGTGGTCAAGTCGCCTCCGGGGGGCGATCTTGGGGTAGGTGGGGGAGAGATCCCCTCTTTCAGATAAATATATGATCCCCCCCCCCCACCCACCCAAAAAAAAATTAGATAAATGTGGGACCAATTCCGTACTTTTTAAGTCAAATCACCCCCATATGGTCAAATCGCCCCCGGGGGATCCTATTAGTCATTTTATAGAAAAATGTTGAAAAGTAGTTATTTTGTTAATACGTTAGGTACAAAGAGACCATTTTTGTGATTTTCCCTATGAGAAAACCATTTAAAAGAATTCCACCATTGTTGAACCACAAACTTCAACTTCAAAATCATAATAGCATCAAGAATAAAATTTTCAACTTATATTATATTCGTCAATTAAAAAACTTTAACATTTGCCACTGTCATTTTATTTATGGCATCTAGGCTAACTTGCTTGCACCTCAATTAGTCTAAAAAATATTGGAAAAAAATAGAACCAATGATTATAAGAAAGATTCCCATAACAACATCAATCAGTGATCATTTTCACATAAGGAAACATGTTTTTCACAATTTTAACATTTATTTACTTTTTATTCTGTCTCACATTTAACATAAAAATGTAAAATGGATCAACATATATATTTTATTTGGTAAAAATCTATTTACACCAGATATCTACTTAAAATTTACACTCAACTATATTATATAGATGTCAAAGACCTTCCAGCCTAGTGGTAAAGGCTTGGGCATGACATAGTCATGAACCCGAGTTTGAGCCCTGGGAGGGGAGTGTTGGCGACATTTAAGTGRGGCCATGTTTAGCCTCCAAATTTGCCGGGGATTAGTCGGGCTTTGGCCCGGACACCCTTACAAAAAAAAAAAAAAAAAAACTATATTATATAGATAATAATTAATATCAAGACGAACAAAAAACCATGATTGACATTTTATGTTTTTAGCGTTACTGTAACACCGCACTAAGTACCTTACAAGTAAAATGAATAACAATACAATTATGTTAGTGTTTTTTTTTCTTAAAGGACAAATTACATGAAAAAGTAACGTACTTTAACTTGATTCCTATTTTGGGTAACGTATTTTCAAAACTTGCATTTTGGTAACTAAGATGTAAAATTTTAAACATTTAAGTACCCAGGTAACTGGTTAAAATATTAACTATTTACCATGCCGATGTGATATCCGGTTAATGTTTCGGTAAATAATACTGAGTTAGATATCATATCACTAGTCACATCAACATAGTAAATGTAATGCTTCAATCGGTTAACCAAATAATTAAATGCTTAAAACTTTATATCTTAGATATCAAAATATAAGTTTCGAAAATACATTACCTAAAAGGCTGAAATAAGAATCAAGTTACCCAAAATTGACGTTAATTTTTCTTGTAATTTATATTTTTCTTGAAGCAAAATCATAGGAGAGTCGTGCGGTTACAGGAACCTCGATCCAACGAGTCTTCCCTTCGCGCGTTGACTTCCGATTCTCTCTCTCTCTAGACTGGATTCCATCTCTCTACTCCTCAGTATACGTTCATACACAGATATAGATCTGAGAATCTAAAACCCTAGCTCTTCTCCGTCCCCATTTTCCATCGGGCTAATGTCTTCTAAAACATTGCCCTACTCAATCAAAGACATACAGTACGATAACGCCAAGTTTCGTCGACGATCCTTGTTGCAGGTATGTTTGTCTGTTACTTGGATTTAAGAGTTTGTCTACACCTTTTCCGATGGTTTTGTTTGGACCGCGATCAATGCTCTTTGTTAAGGTTTAGATTTTGATCGGAATTGAATATAATGTGGGGATTTGATTGTGATCATTTTGATTGGTTTTGTTATGTTGTTGGAATTTAGTTCGATGAATTATCTGTGGATCAATGGTTTTGTGTGTGTTTATTTGAATCGTTGATGTTTTTGTTCTAAGTGCAGTACGAAAATTGATGGTTAAACTGTAACTTTCGCGAATTCACCCCTGTGGCCCTGTGATCGTGGATTCATGATTATAATCGAGAGGATCTCGGTGCTATTTCATGAATGATCAATCAGAATTGAATGATTAAGTAGCATTTGTGAATGTATAACTCAAATAAGCATGGTAGTGATGTGTAAACCAAAAAATAGTTATGCTAGTCGCAAGAGCATATTCTTGTCTTATTAGCTGTTCTATAAGATGACAGCAAATACCAGCAGTCTTTTTATTCATGTTGATGCTAGTAGGTTTGAGATCAGATCAATTCAGCTATGCGGTTAAATCCACGGTAATGAAAACAAATGAGATTAGAAATAATGGGTAAATTTTATAGAATTGTATAATACAGCTTGATTAGCACATACAAAGACATTGTCAATGCAATGGAAAATCAGGATTCTTATTTAGAAAGGAGTTGTGGATCATTTGCTTCTGTGACTGAATCAAATGGCAAGATTTGATTCGCAAATCATATGATTCCAACATACGACAACTCATGGATCACTTATTTTTCCCTTTCAGTATCTTACTAAATTATCCTTCAGCACACAAAGTCTTGAGGGGAAGGGCTTAGAGACAAAAGAGGATAGCTGAATTAAAAATTTTGTTGTTCAAAAGACGAATGCTTGAGCCGAACATTAGTTAACATGGTCTTTAAGCCCACTTGTAGGTTAAATCAATTTCCTAATGCCATTGTTCTTTGGTTGAACATATATCTTTGGCTATTAAGCATGGTAGATGGCTTATACATGCAGTGTGTTGTTAGATAGTGCTAATCTAATGCCAGAAAGATGAAAAATACTTTTCGAATTTGTGCTACAAATCCTCCAATTTCATGATTATGGGATGAAAGTAATTATTTATTCTATTCATGTCAGTCTTTTGAACCTTTTGAGGCAGAGATACAAAGCCGTATTTGGGACAAACATGACAAATAGGAAGGACCATAGATAAAGTGGGCAATTGTAACTCACAAGCTACTAGACCTGCGTTGGGAGGATGATATAAAGACTAAATTCTCACAAGTGCATTTGGCAGATTTTTGTTTGTAAGGTTGCATTTGTCGGATAACAGGATCACGAACCTTAAAGGACAGTCTTTGAAACTTGTTATCTGTTTGTGACAATAACGAACACCCACTATAGAGCATTATGATCTAGAAAGTGTTCGTCCAATTTGACGATCTTTGCTTCAATGGAAACAAAAAGGATTGGAGCTAAAATGTCTTCGTGGTACTTGTTTTTGTAGGAGTCATATTGGGCAATGAGTGAACACCTACTTAGTAAATGTACTGAGCTGAAGGAAGACATCTAGACCGATATTTAGGCTGCTCATATATGAATCAATGGAAATAGGTCTTGAGAAAATGGTTGGCCATCTCGGTTTGTGTATCAGATTGCTGGTAAGGAGTTCCCATATAACTGAAGTATAATTAAGACAAAAGTGCTTTTGGCCAAAGCCACATAAAAAGATGACCATATACTGGTAAATGATGGATCTTGACTTTCCATGCAATCGAGCAATTATTCTATAGAACAAATTAACAACTATTTTGGCTGAGGACGAAATAAAGAAGCACCACCAAAATTGTGTCAAAGCCAAGCTGAAAGAGGGAGACCAACGACATAAATGAGCTTTTGTCTAGGGTTTGATAATAGTGTAGAACTTTTTTACCTTTAAGTTCCATGGAGGTTGCCATCTTCAAACCCAGGAATCTCCATATTTGTGTGGGGATGCCATGACAGATTTTTGGCCCATCATGGACTATCTGTTTTGTTGTCATCTGAGACCATGGCTTCTTTTTTGTCTTGGTTCCAATAATTAGCTTCCCAATATTGCAGGTTAGTAGCCTGTGCTTCTAGGCAGTGCCACTTCTGCTGCAAGAAATCGGTGGTCTCTAATTTGGAATGCAGAAGAAGATAGTTGTTGCATAATAGGATAAATCGGTGAAACTGGGGGTTTGCTTTGGGATCGTAGTATTTGGTATTATCAACTATGATGCCTTACTTCTTTAAAACCAACACGATAGGGTTGGTCTAAACAAAGAGTTGATTACGAGATGGTAAAAGAAGGTTTATTGATGAGAATTATGTGAACAACTTAAACACTACTTGTTCTATAAGATAGTTCTATCGAATTGGACAAATCTTCAAATAAAATCAAGAGATAATTCATAATGAAGGGAAAAACTGGAACTACTTGGGTATGATTAATTGTGTATCTATAAACTATTGACCTAAGGGATCAGTTACTATTAAAGAAGCAAAACTATGATTAAGCAAGAAAGCAAGGAACAGTGGACATCTGCTCTGCTAGAAGTATGGGTTGAAACCTCCCATTATCTTAGCTACTATCTTCTCAACAGGATCAAGGATTTAAGGGACACACGAAAACCCATGTAAGACATCTGCTTGTTTATTCTGATGTGGTCCTCTAAAGTAATCGAGCAGAACTCCACCATATGACGATCTCTCTATTACTTGAACTGATTTTGCCTTGAGCTGTGAGCACATATTGAACAACATCATATGCATGGAATCTGAAATATAAAATGAGATTTAAACAAGTTTCATGTGTGATACGCTCTGCGATTGACATATCTACATCCAATAATACAGGAATAATGATCTTTTCACTCACATCAGAAAAGAATAAAAAGAAGAAACTGAAATGGCAAATTCATGAGTTCCCTCATACAATATTGCATGTGGACATGATTCCTTGCCAGCATATATTTGTTTTCTGCTCTGCTTCTCAAGTGAAACTGCAAGACAAATAGGGTTTTCTAAGTTGCAGAAACTGAACATACTGTAAAATTGCACTATTTGAAGTAGCAAAAGAGGCAAACTGCTCCTGTAACCCTTCCACCCATGATCTTTTTCCCTTCATAAATTCATTTGCAGTCACTTTCATTTCTTGTTTGATGGTCATCCCTTATTTGTGCAGGTAATTTCACATACTTTTCTCACCAAAAGGATGAAGCGTGAATGTATGGCATGTAGCACTGGAAAGTTTCTGGCCTTATTAATGATCTGCGGTTTGACATATCTTGTGCTCACTCATGCAAGTCCAATCGATTCTATAACTAATGGTGTATCTGGAGCTTTTGGGTCTAAGGAAGGAGATAACTCCATCATGGATGGTGGCATTGGAGTTAAAAGATTTTGGAGAAAGCCACCCAGGCTTCCTCCTCGATTGTCGCCTGATGAAGTAAATAGTCACAATAGATCAATGCATGGGATTGCAAAACCAAATCAGCAATCTGAATGGATAGCTAGGCAAGAAAGTGTGCAGAAGGCATTTATCCATGCATGGTCTGGGTACAAAAAGTATGCAATGGGTTATGATGAACTTATGCCACTAAGCCAGAGAGGTGTTGATGGTTTAGGAGGTTTAGGGGCTACTGTTGTGGATGCTTTAGATACAGCCATGATAATGAGACTTGATGATGTTGTTTTCGAAGCAGGTTCTTGGATTGAAAAACATCTTCCGGAAAGAATTTCTCAAAGAGGTCAAGTTAATCTATTTGAAACCACCATACGTGTTGTTGGTGGTCTTTTGAGTGCTTATCATTTAAGTGTGGTACAACAAGAAGGAAATCCAACAAACAAGGGACCCAAACCATCAGTCTACCTAGAAAATGCGAAGAACTTGGCTGATATTCTTTTAACGGCCTTCACTTCAAGTCCAACTGCTATTCCCTTCAGTGATGTTGTTTTGCAGGATCGCACAGCACATGCTGCTCCTGATGGACTGAGCAGCACTTCAGAAGCTTCCACTTTACAGCTTGAATTCAATTATCTTAGTTTTCTTACTGGTGATCCAAAGTACAGTTTTGAATCAATGAAGGTTTTGGAACATATGAAGACTCTTCCAAAGGTGGAAGGACTGGTTCCGATCTACATTAGGTATGAATGCTATGTGAAATATTTATTGATGACTACAATCTAAGCACAAGAGATGCTGCTCTTTTGAAGCAGACACCTCCAAAATACTATATTCTATTGTTTAATAACATTTATTTATTTGTTATCATGTGTTGGTTCTTGGACATGAGTAATCTGCTTTCATTGCTCACAACCGCCTTAGCATTACTTATAAGGGGTGTGCTATAAGACAACATATATTTAGGTTGGAGTTTTATAAGCAATCTTACATTGTGTCATTCACATGTTTTTTTGATGCTTGGCCTTGAATTTGCATTAGGTCTGACCATCTGAGGACTTACATAATGTTGGCAATTACCAATCCAAATGTGAAGCTTAGATGATCTACTCATTCTTAGGCTATTCTGTTCCAGAACTTCTACAGCTAAATTGCTATCATCCATCCTATATGGACCATAGCAACTTTTGCCAAATAACATAAAGTGACAACCTTTATTCATCTCAAACTGGCTTTCAATACAATCTTTTTAACAGTCCCTACCTTGTGCTGTTCAGTTGCAACATCAGTCAGCTGTCGTGTGTCCAGCTAATAGGTTGTGGAGCTTGATCATTTCTAATTTTTTTCACAGTCAATTCCAAATGCTACCTAGTTATTCTAAACGTTGTCATCATCATCATTATTGTTGACAACTGTCACATCATGGTTGTTGCTGTCAGTGTCCACAGTTACCATACTTGCTGTATTAAGCATTTGCTGACAGTATGGCTTGCAGAATTGTGTAAATCATTGTCTGTGTTAAGTCCATTGCCTTTGACGATGGTTGTTACCAACCTAGTGTCAAAGTTACGCTCCCTTGTCTATAGCTTGTGATATAACTTCTAGAATATTTTTCTGCTGTTGTGGTTGGTTGAGGCATAAATCTAAGTATCCTCAAGCACTACAAGTCTAATTTCTGTTGAGGTAAAATGATAGCAAGGTTCCCAATTTCTTCTTATAAATCTACAAGGGCAGTTCACTGTTTATTGTTTAAAGCCCACTAAGCAGACATTTGAAGTCATCCCTTTTGTTAAGAAATAACTTCTATATCAACTTAACTATACAAGCCCATCTCTATGGTATTTATTGCAGCATATGACTGAAATATTAATTGTTCGAGATAATGGCCAAGGAAACCAATCAATTTTGCTCGACTGATCCATTCTCTCTTGAACAATTGAAGTCAACAGATAAAGCAGTGAACTTTATAAATGGGTCTATTAGTCTCTTGAACTAAAAAAAGAAAAAAAAAACAGTGAATCAACTCAAGGGATAACATTCGACATGCCAAAAAATTTGTTATATTAAATTTAGTTTTGATGGCAATAGATATCAGTTTGTAGATATTCCCCTTTCCTGCATGCTTTATGCAATATAAGCTTATGTCCCAAGATAAAACATTCTTTCATACTTTCTTGGTACTGTCCATTAAAATTCTTCTCGAGGAGGATGGGTGGATACCTCTGAACTTGAATAAGATTCATAACTAGCCTGGTTTACATCGTATTCTTATTGCTTTGCGTTTCTTGTGTCAGCCCTACCTCTGGTGAATTTTCTGGAAGCAATATTAGACTAGGTTCTCGAGGAGACAGCTATTATGAATACCTTATCAAAGTTTGGCTTCAGCAGAGACAAAGTAATCGGACGTATTTGCATGACATGTACGAGGAAGCAATGAAAGGTGTCAAGCATCTTCTTGTTCGAAAGTCGAAGCCAAATGGATTGGTTTTTGTGGGAGAGTTGCCTGCTGGGGTTGATGGTGGCTTTAGTCCCAAAATGGATCATCTGGTAAGTTATGTATTATCTTTTGATGTTTATATACAACAGGAGATAATGCAGGAGGTTTCTAGATTTCTCTCTTTTATGCAGTTATTCTCTACAACTACTTATTTAAAGTCATTTTAGCAAGTTGGGATTTGAACATGTTATTGCCTGGTTCTTTCCTTCCTTCTCTCTTTTGAACTCTTTTAAAATCTGTTCTACTATTACAGTGCATAAAAGCTCAATTTAGTACTTCAAATCTACAACAACATACATGCATCTTTCTTGTTGATGCTGTTAGACCCATGCATCGGACTTGACCAAGGTAAAGAATTTAGGGTTTTATAATAAGGAAATGATTTATTCCCTATATATAGGGGATTCTTTTTTGTTGATGCTGTTAGACCCACTTGGACTTGACCAGGGTAAAGAATTTAGGGTTTAATAATAAGGAAATGATTTTAGACCCACTTGGACTTGACCAGGGTAAAGAATTTAGGGTTTAATAATAAGGAAATGATTTGTTCTCTATATATAGGGGATTAACCAGATGAGTAGGTAGGCATGAAGTTATTGATTGAGATCGTTATTAGTTATTTTCTAGGGTTTTGGGAGAGACACCTGCCTCTCGAAAGTCGGCTAAACATGTAATTTTATATTATATGATTTGATTCAATAGAACATATTGGTTTCTATCAAATTGGTATCAGAGCTTTATTTTGGACCAATGGCGGCAAAGAAGATAGATAAACTTGAAGATATATTGGGGGCTGAGATTAGGGAAATGAAAACAACCATGTGGAATCTTGTCGATGAGATGGATGAGAGTTCGCCCTCATGGAGGAACCGTTGAGAAAAATCGCCGAAATCAAATCGTAACATTGGGGTGATACCATCACTGGTAGGAGCATCAGGTGGAGGACATGCTTTATCGGATTCAACGAAGATATTACATTTAAGGTCGCTGGTGAGAACAAAGAATCTTGAAGGGAAAGCAAGTTCTTGAAGAAGATGGTGACAAAATTTTGAACCTTCAATAGGAACTAATAATAAGGAGATGATTTATTTTCTATATACACGGGGTTAACCAAATTAGTAGGTAGGTAGGCATAACAGTGCTAATTTGAGACACTATTAGTTATTTTCTAGGGTTTTGGAAGAGACAGCCAGCCTCTTGAAAGCCGGCCAACCATTTCGCTTTGTTTTATCCAGTTCAATTCAACAAATCGTATTGGTCACACAAGTCATAAAAGGCCGAAGATTATAAATCTGGAGCATGCAGAAACGTGTTATCTCACTATGCATGCAGTTTATGATATTAGACTAGCAAAGTATTGCGAAGGGTTCCACACATCTATTTTTTGGAAAATTGTCCAAACAATGAGGAATTGTTGTAAAGAGAGTATGTAACCAAGATTCTCTCAAAGTATTGAGTCTCGTTTTTTGTTCCTAATACTCTTGATATGTTGGTTTACTACAAACATCGAGGTACACTGGTTCTTCTTGAAGTTATTTGACTGTACCGTATTTTAATAATTTCACATGTTCAGGTCTGCTTCTTGCCTGGCACTCTTGCACTTGGAGCCACTAAAGGCATTACCAAGGCAAAGGCCATGGAAGAGAATTTGCTCACCTTTGAAGACCTAGAAAACCTGAAGCTGGCAGAAGATCTTGCTAAAACTTGCTATGAGATGTATTCTGTAACTTCTACTGGGTTGGCTCCAGAAATTGCTTATTTTAATTCAGAGGTTAGTTGTTTTTATATTTATAACTATGATTTCTTTTTGTGAGAATGTGTTTTCTAATGTTGCCCATGTCCATAGTACATATCTGCCGATATTTATCATTTACTTTTCCTTCTTATATCAAATATTAGGCCATAGTGCCACTTGTTTTGATTTCTGCTTCTACTTCAATCAGGGCTACTCTGAGGATGGTCTTGATGGAGGAAACAAGACTTCAGAGTATATACATGACATTGTTATCAAACATGCTGATCGTCACAACCTTTTGCGTCCTGAAACTGTTGAATCATTGTTCATCCTATACCGTATTACAGAAGATTCCAAGTATGTTCTAATACTTTCTCATGATTATGTATTCTTTATCATAAGTTGAACCAGACTTCTCTAATATTTATTTAATATATGTATGTTACTGTTAAATTCCTTGTTAAAATCCGTAAAAACAGGATATACTGGCCTTATGATACCAATTTTATTTATGCAGATATCGTGAATGGGGCTGGTCCATCTTTAAGGCTTTTGAGAAGTACACAAAGGTTGATTCTGGTGGTTACAGTTCACTGGACGATGTTACCGTGCTTCCTCCTCGACGAAGAGACAAGATGGAGACATTTTTCTTGGGTGAAACCCTCAAGTATTTATTTTTATTATTTGGAGATGGTAACGTAATCCCGTTGACAGAGTTTGTCTTTAACACAGAAGCTCACCCTATTCCTATTATGACAACAAGAAAAAATGAATGATTCTCTTTCGACAGCAGAGATCGTTTACATTACAAAAAGAACCTGTATCGCCAAGAGGATTTAAGTGGGTACAGCATGACATACTGATGTAGGCATACATGGTTCCCCTTTTCCATCTTGAAGTGAAGGATATGATCATTTTGATGCTCAATTACGCAACCAGTTTGATCTGCTTATTTACGAAACTAAAGAGAACCCTATGATGCAGTTTTTAATCTTCAATATGTATTTTCATCAAACAATGGATGCGGTTTAATGAGGCTGTTTGCCATTAGTTACTGAGTGAAAACAGTAGATAGAACTTCTTTTGTTGTAACGGCTTTTAAAGTCAATGATGAGTTAAGATTATTCCGTTTATAATTACCGTCGAGCGCCATTCAGTTTAATCACTGTATTGAACTTTGTTAGATTTTGATTAAATAGAAACTTGCTGATGCTACAAGCTCAACTTTTCATAATTTCTCTTATATTGCTTCTCATACTCCTTAGATCACATTATAATCCCTACATTCACAATCATTTGGAAGGAGAAACAAGTGGTCCCCATCTCGGATGACACTTAAATCATCTATTTCTGCATTCTCTGAGTTTGCAACTTTTGCAAAATTTTGGCCTCCAAACTTTTGACCTGCAGTTTCCACAAGGTCCAGGGTGACGAAGAGATAAAATATCAGGAAGCGTAGTACAATACAAATTATCATGTTTGGATTTTCGAATTTTGAGTTCATGTTCACTGTCACGTAAATCTGTTAACTTTAGATTATATAAAAGAACATGTCTTGCAGTATTCAGGTTGCCGTGGGAGTCTACTTGGGTCAAATAGAGCTTACCTGCAAAGATCAATAATTCTTCTAATGAATCTGGTAGGACCATGAGCTTTGGAAGCTGCTTTTCTGATGCGCTCTCCTGGAAGTTTGCATGAATGGTAACCCTCTTCATCAGTTTCTTAACATTTCTGCCTGTATAACTGGTGGAACTGCTTGAGCTCAAGAAAGCAGGCTCTACAAGTGAGGTGGAACAACTAGGGTCCCTGTTTGTTGTTGGTAAGTACCGGCTTGTCAGTGTACTATTCGTTGTTTCTGGGTCGATGAATTCTATTTTGTGTTCATTCCTCCTGTTTTCATGACTTAATAGAAGGTCATATATGCTTTTGTTTCCCTGCTGTTGAGCTAGAGATTTTGGCGTGCATCCTCTTATATCTGGCTTGTGCATGTTTGCTCCTCCTTCCAGAAGAAGCCTTGCCATTTCTAAATGGCCTTTCTTTACTGCAACATGAAGAGCAGTTTGGCCATCCTCTGCTGGTGAGTTCACATTTTTTTCATTCTTATTCGATATAGAGTTGTTTATCTGTTCTTGCTTCTCTATATCACCTGAATCTAAATAATCTATATCACTTGGTTCCCTTGTAACCTGATCTGCATTTGAATAATTACGTAAATGACTAGAAGAATTTTCCATAGTCGTTCCTCCATGGGACTGCTCACTCGAAACCAAAGCTGGATTATTGGGCTGACTAGCATGTCCAAAGCTTTCCAGACCTTTCAGTTTCTGTAAATGGGCAAACACAGAAGTGTACATATTTCTTAGACCATATTAAACCAAAAGGGAATTTAGGTTCAAAATTCAAATGGTGGGAGCATCACAAGTACATACCATGTAAAAGTTGTTCATTATAATGAACCCATCCTGCGTATTTGTGTGAATAATCCTGAGTAGTGAAGAACCATCCATACGCAGCATCTGAGAAATCTCAGTTGTCTGGAATGTGAATGGCTGAGGTGTATTATATAGAATTCCTGTTTCTCCAAACATTTCTCCAGACACAGCCTTTCCTACAATCTGCAAGTTACCAATTTAGAAGTCAGGTTGGTTTCTTGTTTTTTGAACTGATCAATAGGAATACTATATACCTGATCCTGCCCATCATTATTTGCAATTATATCCTGCCATTGGAAAATAAATTACCAACCCATTTATTTAATATTCCTTTTTTAATAAAAGATTTGAGATGCTATGTAATCTGTACCAAGTTCACTTACCACTGCTCCAGTAACCAGTATATACAGATTTGTTGGAGTCTCATTTTGTAGAATCACGACCTCCTTTGGCGGAAAGTACTCTGCTTCCATTTCAGAAACCTTTTCACAATATAGCAGATTAAATTACTAACCTTGAGAAATGTGCATTGATTCCATTAATAACATGATTTACATTTTTTTTGAGAATCATCCTTTTTGCCCTTAAGAGGTTTTGCAGTGTTAATTTATAAGCAGGAAATAATGGGAACCAGAGGAAAAGAAAAGAAGGTTACCATCTGGAAGAGGCACTCATGGGAAATGCCACGAAACAAATGGACATTTTGCACTATTGGGTAAAAGAGATGGCGTGAAATGCTTGCACGGATGGCTTTCGGCAGACAATTTAAGGTATCTTGCTGTTTCAACCCTTCCGTTTTGTAATCTAGACAGATGTGCGACAATATTTGATCTTTTATCTGTGGAGGAAGCTGATTCCTTTTTGCGAATTCTGAAGCAGCAGCGACTTTATCCCTCTACAGTACCAAAAGCGTTGTCTCAGACATAGAATTCACAAGTTTGAGTAAAACTTCCTTTTTGTCATTAAGTGTAGTATCTGTTGGTATAAGTTTGTGATCTGATATACGGGCCATTGCCCCACTTGATATCAATCTAATCTTTTATAGTGAAATGTCATCATCATACGTCGCTGCTCCTTAAGATATACTCCCATTTGTTCCAAAATAATAGTTTACATTTCTATTTTAGTTTGTGCAGAAATAAGTGTGCACTTTCAAAAGGAAGCGCCTACTTTCCAATTCTACCCTTAATTATGAGATGGACTCCCTCTCTTACAAAGGGTCAAATCGTGATTTACTTAATCAAAAAGGGTAATAGTTACTCATTTTTTAAGCGGATGCCTTTTTCATTGTGGAAATATATTGGGGAGGGAGTACAAAGAAAATGCATGAAATCCAAAAGTAGCATAAACTTTAGGAATACCGACCGGAAAGTTATTTTTTGCCAAGGGGAACTTAGAATTTAGAACTTTGAAATCTAGACTTGATCAAGAATAAGAGCTTCTAAGTTTATAAAGTTGACGTGCATTACATGTCGATAGTCTCATATTGCCATGTGTTACAACTTTATAACTCTAATTTATTGTTTGAATTCATTTATTTATAAAAGCGTAGTTACCCCTTGATTGCTGTAGAAAACCACAAATATTTTGAGAACCAGGGAACCAACTCTTTCATATTCATGATGAATAATCCTGAATAATGAAGATTATTCATGATGAATGTCATGATAGATATACATCACAAAAATCATTAATAATGAAAATACATGATATTTTTGATAAAAATATATTATATCCATGATAAAATGGCATGAATATCAATGATAAAATGCACAATTTTATGAATAATGAGAACGCATTATTTTCATGATTATTCAGGGTTATTCATCATGAATAATACATGAAATAGTTAGTTCTCAGTTCTCAAAATATTTGTGGTTCTCATTTGAGCGTTCCCTATGGCTTTATATGAATAACCCGTGCTTAAACATTTAGGGTCTATTTACCAAAAGCTTACCCTGTAAGCGCTTACCAAGTCACATCACCTTATGTCCTTACTCGGTAACTGACAGCGACGACTCTTACCCGGTTATCGTTTACCGGGTAAATTGTTGCATACAATGCCGTTTTTATGGACTAAAATCTTACTCTGTAAGGTAAATGATAGTGTTAAATCTTACCGGAAAGCGCTTACTGGGTAAAAGTTTGGGTAAACGGCCCCCTAATGTTGTTTTCAACACCTTGAACAGAAGGAGGGATAAAAGAAGGCAGAAACTTACAAAATCTCTGGTGTTGCCAGTCCAATGGACAACGAGATTTGTCATGTTCCCAATGAGGTAAGCCGTCAATCCCAAGTTGAATAGCATGTAGAAGATATCGAACAGCATCTCTCTCGTGTTCTCAGCATGAAAATCTCCGTAGCCAGTTGTTGTCAGAGTTACGATCGACCAATACAGTGCTGTTACGTACCTGTTCCAGATGCTATCGTTTTTGAAATCCGGATAAACTGCACCTATCCAAGTTTTATTTGGATCCGGATATCTATCCGCTATCAAGTAGTTGAAGCATCCAGCACAGTGTACCGCGAAAAGAGTCACCTAAATTTCAAATATAGATAAGCAAAAGATATTTACTGAGTGGCCTAGTTTCCCTTGTTCTTATGGTGGTTTCTGGTACACGGGACAGGACTTGACAAAATTATGTCCCATGTTTGATGCGACATTAAGACTAGGACAGGACGGGATTGAGTGAGACAAAAATGCAGGGTGGAAGAAAAATCAGGGAGATCGGACAAGATTGGTAAATTACTAAACTACCCATGTCAAGTTAAAACCCTAAAACCTTGCACAGTTCTTTCACCCGCCTACCTCCCCGTCTTGTGCAGTCATGTTTGCCTACCAAACGCACCCATAATATGTTTTAAAAAGGTTTGGTGGCTTACTGAGGTGAGTTTCGTACAACGGATCCAGAAGTAGTTGAACCTGATGTCCTTCTCAAGCCTGAAAATGGAAGCGTACAGATTTTGTCACTTAGCGTAATTTTGGGTACCCTTTATAATAGCAAAATTTGGAAGATTATTATGTTTTAGAATTTGGGACGTACTCTCGGGAACAACCTCTCTGTCTCGTGGGACAGAGGTAAGGTCTACGTTCATCCTACCCCTGACCCTACCTTCAGGTGGGATGTACCGGGTCCGTTTGGTTTGGTTTAGAATTTGGAACGTACCTTGCAAAGAGGGAGCTAACTCTTCGAAGACGCCATAGTCTAAGCATGCTGAGTACTTTGAAGCCAATCTCGCTTTTACGATCCGTGCAGAGGAGGCTGAGAGATCGAAATGGCACGGTTGAGCTGACATCGAACATAAACCAGGTTGATAGGTACCTGTTTCAATGCCAACATTTTTGTCTTTAGTAACCTGTGCATTTATTTTACATTCGAAGAGATCGATCCGTAAATTGCTGCATGCTGCTGACCTCACTGCTATTTTCTTGTGATCATCAACAAGAACGTACGATTGGCTATCAAGGTACGCCACAAAGAAAGTTAAAACGATATCAATGGCGAAGAAGCCATTGACAATGTTATCGAAGATGCGTAGGGCCCCTTGCTTATCGTCAAGAAATGCAAAGTCAAAGGGTGAAATCCAGGCTGAGTAAATGACCAAAATAACCAGAAACATCTCCCAGGCCCTGAAGAAGAAGAAGAAGAAGAAGAAGAAGAAGAAGAAGAAGAAGAAAAAGAGGAAAGATGATCAAAATGACGAAAATGCCCTTCACTACAACGAAGGTGGTTGAATCAAACTCACCTGTATTTCCTATCAAAAGGGCTGACCGTGTATCTCTTTAGCGGAGCCGAACGGTTGAAGTTGGCACCTAGCGACGGGAGGAGATCACTGGAGAAGAAACCACTGTGGGTCGACTTCCCCATTTGAAAATCTTCGATACAAAAGCATCTTAAGAAGTTCATTTTTCTGGATTCAAATAGTTAGAGAAAGAAAGCTGGCAATGGACATGGTGGTCATGAGGGGAGGGTAAAAGTGACTTTATATACTCGGTAGCTGGTGAACTCACAGGTTCATCGTGGCTTTTCGGCTTTTCGTTTATGACGTAAAAAAGCAAGAAATCTTGAAATTAATTAATTTTTATAGTATTTTTGCAGGTGAATATGATGAGATAAAAGAAGAAGATGAAGGTGGTGTCTTTAAATGCAGCTCAGCTGAGTTGAGTTGAGTTGAGAAGATGGTCCTATGATTGGATTGGGGTGTGAGAGAAAAATGGAGGTGTGATTTGGTGTGGAATTCCAAAAATGGACCAGACAAGAGGGTGTAAGAGGTGCGATATAAAGACCATGGGCCAATGGAATCTGGCTGGCTTGCTTGCTTTCCTGTAAGATGCCTCTCTAATCTCACTCTCCTAAAGGTTAAAACTTTTGGTCAATTCCACAATCTTCGAATATGCGATATTATGTGGTATCCTTTCGATTTGATTTTAACTCCGAGTGACCGTGAATTTCACGTATAAGTGTTTCTAATTCTAACCCGCGTGGTAGTTTGTTTGTTTGTTGTACATGTTTCGTACTCCACCCAAAACTACAAAAGGTTGGTATTAAATAGGGTGTCGTGGGTCTGTTTGGAAACTTCTTCTTTGTCTATTAACGTGCGTTTGGTACGTGGGATATAGGACGGATGCGACATGGTAAAAACTTTTTGTTCCATGTTTGGTGTGATAATAGACCGGGATATGACGGGGTTGTGTGGGACAAAATGGATCTTTTTGGATCTGGTCAAATTAACTGGAACAAAGATAAGGGAGACGAGACAAGATTGTCAAGAGCATCTCCAACAGATTCTTCAAATGGAGAAAATAGAGATTTTGGGCATCTTTTTTACTTAAATAGATTCTTCAAAATGAGAAAGTAGCAGAGAGAGTGTAAAAATCTTCAAATTTGGAGAACGTTTAAAAAATGATTACAATGAGAGATATTTTTTAATATACTTACACCAATGGGAAACTTTGAAAATAAATATTTAAAGAGATAATAATTTATTAGATAAATGAAATATTTTGGTAATATAATCAATGTTTAATCTCCAAACCGGGGAATCTGTTGGAGTTGAATGTATTTTTGTTTTAAGGGTTTTGAAGTTCCATTCTCCATTTTGGAGACATTTTGAAGAATCTGTTGGAGATGTTCTAGATGACTAAATTACCCGAGTCAAAGTAAAACTTCAAAACCTTCCATCATTCTCTCATCTGTCTAATCGTGTCTTGCCTGTCGTATTGACCTACCAAATACATTTTTATGTAGAGTTTCGGCCTACCAAATACATTCTTATGATATAAAATTTTGGCCTACCAAATACGTTCTTATGATATGAAGTTTGCATATATATTTTTTCACCATACTTTACATTCACATGGAAAATACCTACTTTATTTGGTTTAGGGACTGTTTACTTACCGTTTAATGAACATAATGGTTTGGACGACTTACTTGCTCAGCTATATACGAGTGTTTCTCTACGGCTTAATCATTAAGCCATCAAGCCAAAATGGCCTAGAAATGCCCATTACACCACCTCAAACAAACAAAACACCCTAAAGGGTTTTAATCCTCTCTTTGCCTCTTTCAAACAACAATATATTTTTATTCAGATAGGTACTTAACCCATATGACTTAATAAAAAAGAAAAAGTAATCAACACTTATGGATTGTCTGGTTGGTTTTTCATTAAATCCTATATCAATAAAGCTGTCTATATGAATTAATATGTTTGTACAGATTTAAAAGGTTTTTGTTTAAGATGATTTTTCATAGATGTTTTTTAGTTGAGAGAGGTAAATTTGAAAAAAAAAAAAACTTGGCTTCATGCATAACCTACTTTCTGTATCATTAAGTCACTACTAAACAATTATGTATAATTGATTTAAGGATAATTTTTGTTTAAAAAAAAAGGTGGTTTAGATAGGATTATTTTGTGGTAAGAGTAAGACGGGTTATAGACGCTTGGTGCATTCGTTATTGGCGGGGTATAGAGTGACCCTATTTGCCGGCTGGACATTTACAAATCCACCGACCTCCTCTGCACGTGCTTGGATGCCCAAAATCCTTTTTTTTTTCTTTTTCTTTTTCTTTTTTATAATTTTATAATTTCCTAAAAAGGGTTTTTATGTCTTATTAGAAAAAATATATTTTATTACAAAGTTTTTCTTCATAAACTTCGACTACGTTTGTGTATGCAAATATTTTTTCTGGAAAAAAGGTCTTAGACTAATTTCTGAAATATTTTTACGGTGCTGATTTTGTGGTCGTTATGACAGGGTTGAATATGTCTCAATGGCATGTGGGTGATGTTTGGGGTCGTTTTCTAGACCCCCTGTTCATTTTACATGAATGTTCGATCTTTTTATCCGTTAGACTGAAACCATAGGAAGTGTACAGTGTATTTTGACATTTATTGTCATCCAAAATGCCTATAATTTGCTACAATCATGTCTAACCTTTTTTTTTTATTACTAATCATGCATTTATATTTGGTTTTATGATGGTATACTTGTAGAAAACGACGAGGGCTTGAGTTTGGCCGTTGCAGTAGTGATGGCCAAATCGGCCCGGCCCGGCCCGGGACTAGTTATAGGACCGAAATCTGAGACCGGTTATGGATTTGGGGTGTTTCGCGGGACCGGGACCGGTTATGGCTCGGCTCGGCCCGGCCCGAATTTTAAAAATGTAACCGTTTTTTGGCCATTTTTTTGTATTTTTTGCTTTTTAAACACTATATACAAGTGTCTTGGTTGAGGGATTTATGTACCAAGTTCTCGATTCGCAAAAAATGCAAAAAAAGTTCACAATTATCGGTTTCTCGCTATATTTTGTAAGACAATGTAATTTTAATTATAATAAAACCCATTTTAAAGTGTATTTGAGTGATCCAATTACAAATTTTATAATATATTAAAAATATATATCATTAAAAAAAATATTTTTAATGACCAGGACCGGTTGGGACCGGGACCGGCGGCTCATAACCGGTTACAATAAAGCTTGATCGGGCTCAACTTTTTCGAGCAAGACTGGGACCGGTTATGAGAAATCTTGGGACCGGTTTTTGGCCATCACTACGCTGCAGTATGAGAGTTAAGATTTCTTTGGGATTGGGATAGCCATCTAGCGGGTTGCTGTACATTTGATTTGTCTTTCACATGATTTTCTTGAGGCAAGATGTTGTGGGCCGACATAGGAGTAGTTGGTTGTAAATTCTTCTTGCATGAACATGAGCTAGAAATAGTAATCACAGGGTCGAGATTTAAAAGTCGTTTACTAAAATTTACCTGTTAAATGCTTACGGGGGTCACTTTATCTTATTGAATAAACATGACAATGATTGAGTATCTTACCCATTAAGAGCAATGATAAGAACCAAAAGTCTTAAGGGCCGTTTACCAAATGCTTACCCGGATAAACGCTTACCAAGTAACATTATCTCACCGGATGAATATAGTAAGGACCAAGAATCTTATACAGTAAGAGCAAGACAATGATCAAGAGTCTTACCCGGTAAGTGAGGGTGACGACTCTTACCACGGTAAACGCTTACTGAGTAAATTATTATATACTATGTCATTTTGGTGGACTAAAATCTTATCCGATAAGTACATAATAATTTTAAATATTAATATACAGTTGATAAAATATTTGTTGCTTAAACAATGATTGATTTCCAAATCTTTCAAAAAATAAATACAGATTCAGACAAGTTATAAGAAATAAATAAAAAAAAAATAATAATAATGAGTTATGTAATACAAACAAGCAACAAACCCACATCCACATGTGAATATAATATATGATTATGGTATTTTTTATTCATTCATTTTGGACAACCATATCCACGTGAAGTAATTTATTTTATATTTTTTATATTTAAAAATGGTATATTGTTTTTCCATGGGAGATGGGGACACCAAAACTGGACCTTACATCAAAGATGGATCGAATTTGTATGGGCAGCAGTAATGTTCTTGTATTCTATTTGCTTTTTTTATTTATTTATTTATTAATAAATAAAATTGTATTGTTTATCAAAGAATATATAATTACTTGTTACCTATAAAATTTCAATCCAAGATTATATACAAAGCACATGTGATTTTACACTAACATCATATACAAAATCACATGTGATTCAGGCGAGTCGTCCGGACACTTTTTTTGACCATCGATGTAAAATCATATGTGATTTCACACATGATTTGCCTGTTTTTTGTTTATTTTAAATAGGTACCGTTCTTGTTTGATTCTGCCTCTCTCTCTCCGTGTGTGTGTGTATATATATATATATATATATATATATATATAGGTTCAGGTTCAGGGAAACAATAAAAAAATGAAAAACTGAGGAACATCCTAGTAAATGTTCATCTAGACAGTATGCATATATACATACAAGTAATCTGTAACAAATTTTCCAATATGCATATGTGCGTAACATGTACACGTGCATAAAAAAAACAACTTCAGTTACTTGTGTACACATATGCATACTGTACAGATGAATGGTCATCATAATGTTCCTCCGTTTTTCATTTTTTTGGGGTTCTCTCTCTCTCTCTCTCTCTCTCTCTATATATATATATATATATATAGAGAGAGAGAGAGAGGGGTTTAATTGCAAACTAATTTTCGGTTGTGAATTGGGAGACAAAGGAGAGTGCAAGACGTGTCTCAGGCATCCACATTCAATATGAATAACAAAGGTGAAGTTCATGAACTATTCATGACGAATGATCCAATATTCATGATGAATAATACACTATCATGATGTATGTTAAATTGATTCATTATTCATGATGAATATACACGCTCATCATTATTCATGATAAATAACCCGTGGACGCAGAGGACGCATGTCGCGCTCTCCTTTGTCCCCCGTTTCACAATCGAAACTCGCTTTTCATTTGAATCCTCTCA